CACCTAGCTTCTAAATTTAACTTATTTTTTAGAAAATACCTTTGTTGAGAACGATTTGTTTTTGTCCAATAAATTTTAAAAATATGTTTGATCAATAATTTATACTCCTTCCATCCACTTTTAATTGTCATGTTGCGACTTTCAAAAGTCAATTTGACTAATTAGATTACATTAATTCGATATTTAAAGCAAAATATTTATATATTCAAAAATTATACGAAAAGTACTATAAATTGCAATTTTTGACATGTCAATATGATGAAAAAATATATCTTAAAATATTACTCAAAGTTCTTAAAGTTGACTAAAAAAAAAAGAAATCATGACAATTAAAAGTGAACGCAGGCAGTATTTGACTAAACTTTCTTACCCTTAAAAAATATTTTTTGGGAAAAATTACTTTTCTTAGCTTCTAAAAAAGTTTTTGCTAGTCTCAAGAAACATTAATTTTCTCTCAAAAACTGACTTTTATCACCCTGCTAACTTGGCCAAACAAGCTAAAAATAAAAATTCCAACCTTGCCAAAAACTCAACTTCATATCCAAACTTATGTACTACACCAGTAGTGACATAGGTCGACTTTGTTTGCCCACATGCCAGTACTAGATCCTAGCTCAGTCAACCAACAAATCTCTAATTCACAAAGCAATTAAAATGGCCTCTTTATTTGAACCTAATTCATTCAGATTATTTTTAAAATTTAAAGAGAAATAGATAGTGTCTTTGTTAATTTGGAGCTGGGTTTAGTCAAATAGTGGGATACATAATCTCTAGGGTTGCAACCCTGTCAGTCAAACAAAGGACACCTCTCTCAGTGAACGTTAGAGCACTAATGATTCCTCATTAAACAATTATTAATCAAATTTTGGATAAAGACGTTGGAGATTAGAGAAACCCTAAACAAATGTGGCACTAAAGCGTCTAATTAAATGCAAAATGCAGATGGCAGAAGTGGCAGTGGGATGACACCCAGCTCATTGAATTGGAGGCACATGGCAAATATTGATGGTTTCTTGTAGGAGTAAAAGAATTGACAAAAAGGTACTGGTTGGAACAGATACCCAAGGATATGGATTGGTTGGGTACCACTCAAATTCTCAATGAAAAGTTGAGGAGTGTTATCCACAAGAAAGTGTTACTATCAATCCTTTTTTTTTCATGCCTTTATCTATGGCCTTAGGCTCAATTTAATAAGATTGTTGGAATAGTTTTGGAGAAACACTTGCAGTTTAAAGTTTTTTCAGTAATGATGTTGAAATATTTGCAGAGCAGAGAACAGGCACTACTGTTAGGGAGGCAAAAAAACGTGAGTTACGGGAGATTGGCAGCAACAGAAGCTAAGATTGTAGATGACAAAGGACGATCTTATTTATTAATAATGTCTCCACTATAAACATAAAGCATTAACTATTTCTATTTTCTAGTGCTCCTGTAATTGATGGGTGGATTTGAATTCTGAGGTACCATCACTGAAATATTATTCTACCATACCAAGCAATGTAATTTGGCTCACCAAAACTATGTAGTAGAGTATTTTTTTTTATTTCCCACCCAGACAGATGTTAGTAAATACTCCCTTCCATCCCAAAATAAGTGTCGCTTCAGTAAAAATAATAATCTCAAAATAAGTATCGTTTTAGAAATTCAAGACACATAATTGTTTCCAACTACACCCTTACATTAAAGAACTACATCTTAATAGTGCTCAATTCTCAAAATAACATCAAATAAAAAGGGAATTTTAGTGAACTACACCTTGTAATGAATTAAAAATGAGCTAAAATAACACTTATTTTGCGACAGAGGTAGTACTTATCTAAATTATCATTTCTCTCTTACGTGTCTTAATTAGTAAACCTCAACTGATTGAAGTAGTAATAGTGTCTTGGAGAAAAGTACTTTTGTTTTTTTGAAACGTCAAATATTTTTGAATAAATACTGTTATGAAATGGAGGTAATGAAGCTTAATCCTAATTTTTCTGCCCTGCTAGTAAGAAATCCTAGTAGCCCACTGATGTAAGACTGCCTTGTGACAAAGATCAACAAATATTAGCAAAAGCAAACATCTATTCATAAGAAATGAACCCTACTGTGAACCATCACTCCAAGAAACTTAAAAACAAGTCGTCCAAAAGCAAACTTCAAACACCAAAAACAAAAAGTTGTTTCCTTCAGCCCAAACATTTAACTTTTGTTAATGTATATGCTCAGCTTCTACTCTTAACTCATTTGGTCGTACCACATGAATTTACTAGTTTAGGTACTACCATGTAAATGCACAAACCAACCCAACCCAACCCAACCCAACTCAACCCAAATAAGACAAAGTTTACTGTCACATCTAACTGACATCTGAGTGGGATCACTAAATTACTAGACTGGAGAACTGCCTGAAACGTCATTAAGCATTGGTGTGTGTCCACTCTTCATATGAGTCATAACTAAGGCAAACCACTTATGTACTAGAAAGCAGTGGGCTTGACTATAAGTTACCCAGAAGAAGGACTACTCAGTTTACTCAAGATATGGGCTTCCACAATATCCAAGATTCATATTTAGCAATTATCTTGGAAATGCAAGGTTCACCTACAGTCAGGTTACTGACTTGGAAGATAAAGTTTTCTTACCAAATCGTTTCCACCATGCCAGCATTTTTGGATGGTATACCAATCTAGGAATTCAATAACTAGCGTACGCAAATAGCAACCAAATTGACGAGATTTTGCCTCACAAGCTGCAGAACAGAAACAAAAACAATGCCATGTACTTGCACGTGACCACTATAATAAATGGGACAAGGACAGCTGCAGGAGTGGGTAGCAACAGAGCCTAGTCATGCATTGATATGCTTAAACAAAAACAACAATATAGTGTAATATTATAGTACCTCCTTTACCTTAAAAAGAAAAGGAATTGATAGCTCAAAATCAACAGAAAAAAAGGAGAAGAAATTTGTTGTGCCTTGACCAAAAGCATATCTTACTTATCAGCTACTAACTGCATATTATAGAGTCTTAACTAGCACTCTTATTTGACACCTTCACATAATACAGCCTCTACTGGCACAAGCTGAGCAGTTCTTGCAGCTAGTTTGATGTATGGTCACATGATTTTTTCCAAGTATAACTGTATCTGCAGATAATGAGCTCCGAACAAGAGTAACATCTAAAAGGTTATCTTATTCATCTCGGGAACCATATTCACAAGGAAGGCCTTCTGTACCACTTGACTCAACCAGTTTAGTCCTTAAACAAACTGAACTTGAAATCACAATGTAGCTCTTAGACTAATCCAATCGGCAAAGCTCGACTAGACTCATTCAGTCACGAACATGGCCTCCAATCTTTTTCCTCTGCAAGCATAAAAAATGTCACTCTCTAACCAAAGGTTTCCAATTCCCAACCCTTAAGGACCCATTTTTTTCCTACACAACTAAAGCACTTAAATTCTGGAATCAAGTATTTTGGTTTTGAAAACAAAAGCAGGTTGTGATAGTTTCTGGAAACCAAAACATTGATTTCATGAGACAGTTGAAAAAAACCAAGGATGTTTTCTCAAGAAAATAAATTGTGGCACTATTGCTTGTGACCAGAGGCAGATTCAAGATTTGAAGGTTGCAGGTATCACTATTTTATGTATGCAATACGTAGCATTAGTCACAAAGACAGAGTAGAGAAGATGGGTCGGGTCAATATATTTTGGATTAACTCGATTAGGTCTTCTATTCGTACATAGACAAATAAGTTTTGTTTGGTTTAGCTTTTATTCACACCTGATTTAAATATTTAAATTCTAGTGTAGAAGAAAATTGCAAAAACCAAACTCATGAAAGAGTGCATCCAATTAGATAATTTGCTAAAAATATAGCTTAATTTCAACATATTCTTTGTTTTTGGCTTAGATTATTTTACCTTCAATATTCTTGACTAAGCTCTCCATTTTAATTATCAAGTTTAATGACAATTATTAGCAAAACAAAGAGCTTCATTTTTTCAATCTATGAGAATCAACCCAACATGTCTAGTAAACAAACTGTTTCAATCTTTCAAAAGTTAAAAAAATACTGCTCAAATTATATTTCATGTCGCGTCATCAAAAAGAGAACTCAAATTATATTCCAAGATAGATCAATGTTGCGTTATCCAAAGGAAAAAAAATTATGTGTTAAATAAAATGATTCATATTTACTTGTCAAAAGAAGCTTCTTATGAAGTAACTTTAACTGTAGAAACAAAATATGGTTCGTATAAATAAATTGAAAAAGAAAATATGATTGTTAGAATAGGAATAGGTTTATACAATCCTATTAGAATAGGAATAGGTTTATACAATCCTATTAGAATAGGAATAGGTTTATACAATCCTATTAGAATAGGAATAGGTTTATACAATCCTATTAGAATAGGAATAGGTTTATACAATCCTATTAGAATAGGAATAGGTTTATACAATCCTATTAGAATAGGAATAGGTTTATACAATCCTATTAGAATAGGAATAGGTTTATACAATCCTATTAGAATAGGAATAGGTTTATACAATCCTATTAGAATAGGAATAGGTTTATACAATCCTATTAGAATAGGAATAGGTTTATACAATCCTATTAGAATAGGAATAGGTTTATACAATCCTATTAGAATAGGAATAGGTTTATACAATCCTATTAGAATAGGAATAGGTTTATACAATCCTATTAGAATAGGAATAGGTTTATACAATCCTATTAGAATAGGAATAGGTTTATACAATCCTATTAGAATAGGAATAGGTTTATACAATCCTATTAGAATAGGAATAGGTTTATACAATCCTATTAGAATAGGAATAGGTTTATACAATCCTATTAGAATAGGAATAGGTTTATACAATCCTATTAGAATAGGAATAGGTTTATACAATTCTATTAGAATAGAAATAATAATAGAAATAGAAATAGGAATACTAAATAGTATCCTACTTGGTAAATGATTGTATTCTAGGGTCTATAAATAGGGTCTCAATGTAATAATGTAAACAACAACAATTTAATAATATGCTTCCCTTATATTTCTCACAATGATGAAGTAGGAGAAATTGGAGAAGCTTTTTAAGCAACAATAATGGAGAATTAAAAGAACAAAAAGAGGAAAGTGAGGTGAGGGCCTAGGAGTAGGTGATAAAATCAGTTAATTACTTGAATGCCTGCACTGGGAATTGAATTCAGAACATAAAGAAATGAAGAGCCTTAAGTCCTTAACAGACTACATGAATCAGTGGCACCCGGAGCTGCTTATAATATTACGGGTTCCATTTAATATATTTATACATTTTTTCACAAATATTTACAAACATATAAGAATGCCTACAAGAAAAAGGTGGCAGAGGGGAGTTCTTGAAGCATTTGGAACTTGCTTCTCTATTTAATCAACATGGTAATCTCAGATTGAACATGTAGAACTCGTGTAAATTTTGGACTGGAGCTTAGACAAACTCAAGGACAAGTTCATAGATGAGCTCGATATAACTGGCCTCATGCATGCACTAAAACTAAATCGACTTCGTAGAAATTTATTTACCCAAGCTTGAATTCAACTCCTGCCTCGCGTAACAAATACCCAAACTGAGTTTGTACCTCTAGAGCTCAACCTCATCTTGGCTCTACATTCAGCCCTAAATGTCTTACGATTTTACTTGACCAGAAGATGCAATTATTATAAGTTGCATCTATGAAATGAAATCATGGACGACATGTAGTAATGATACAAAACAATAAAGAGAAAAATGAGGAGGAGATAAAAGTAACGATCACCCTCGTTAAATTAAATTACTAATCCATATATATTACCGCTTCTATGCTTTTGCTTGCCATATAGGTGCATATGTCCTAATAACGGGACTTATTCACGCATGCTACAAATATCCATGCTAGATATATTTTAACCAAAATGTATGCAATAATCAGACATATTTTACCACAATATACTCAGAATGTGAAGTCATGAATTTCTAGAAATGTCTTGTTTGCATACATTCACCAATGTATTTGCTACATGATTATTAGAATAAAAAAATCATCTGGTTCTTCTTTTATCTAAAAGTACACTTCAAATGGTGTTCTGTGATGTATACTTCCTAACAATAATTGAGTATATTAAAATACTGAAATATCAGTGACTAAGAGCTGTATGCATCAGTTAACTCCCTTTCAACCCCTATTTGAAGGACACTTATCACCCATATCATGAGTGATACTACTCTAGTAATCTAGATGGGAAGTCAAATTCTGTCTCATCCACACTAACCAAGCAAAAGTCATTCCCAAATGAGATTAAGTTGCAACATTCTTCAAAGCATTAATCTCCTCTTCCTCTCCCACCCGATTGTCGGGACTAACTATTCAAAACTTCTCTTTGTCTTTCTTATCCAGGAAGTCAGACTTCCAAAATGGCTGAATTAGGTCGAGAACAAACTAGAAAAGTTCTTAAACAAAAGGGACTTAGCTGTTACCTTTCCAAAAAAAAAAAAAAAGAGAGGGAGGATTTGATAAAATCCAACCAGAAAGATTTATTGGATTGGTTATTCGCCGACCCATTTCACGAAGAGCCTTAAATATTACTATATTACGTGTGAGTGAGGTTTTTCCCGACAAATACTGGGATTTCAGACTTGAATTCTTTCTGGGCATCACCCGCCTTCGAGAATGTCCGTATATTCTTAAAAACAATTTAGAATTATAGCATGATTCACCTACCCTGTATAGAGGAAATCGACTGCCTTTCGGCTTACCGTCGTCTTTGAGTGTAGTGTCGGCCCAGCAATGTTATAACTCAAAGCATTAGTTATGGGATGTTAAGAAATGTTTCAGAATTGAATATGTGTATCATCATTTTACAAACAGCACATAATAGAAGGGAGTAAAGATACTTTACTTCAAAGCTTGTACTAGACATTATACCAATTAAGATCAGCAAGTGTACCTTTTAAATCGAAACTGAACTGTCATCAACTTCTACCATCCACATCAAACCCAGACCCCGTCCAACCAGGTGGTGCTGCACCTCTACTTTTAGGTATTATGCCAATTCCCTTCCCTCTTCCTTGGGCATTAATTTTCTTCTTTCCTCTTGCTTCACGTTGTTGGTTTTGTCCATTTTCTGCTGCAGCATTTCCAGTGTTTCCTTCTTTCAATGTAGTTTCAGATGATCCATTTAATGATTCTTGTGAACCTTGAACTGAGGGAACATCTCGATTCATACTGCTCGGTGCAGGTCCCACAGAATTCAGATCCTAAGAACATTTTGGGCCATCAGTTTTATGCAGCTTTGGTTAGGAAGCATTATTAAGCAGATAACACGAGAAGCATCATATCATCTCAGATTCTCAGGGACATTTTTAGTCTTGTAGCTCCAAAAACAAGATTATGGAAGGAGCAAAAAGAAGCACAAGGAACTCTGGTACTCTTATCTTGAAGGATAAAGGTTTCAATCAAACATTTGGGATTGTTTCAGCTTCTAGTTTTGGCTACAGCGTGGTAGTATGTTATCTGGCCTACATTGTGCTCATTCTCACTCAACATTGTCATCCCTCTCGCAAGGGAGTGTTCAAGTGAAGGTTATTCACACTTCACATACTTTAAGTATCAAAACGTAGGCTCACATCTTACAAACACAGGGTTATTAGAGCTTTCTGATAAAATGGCTTAAAGCATTGACCAAATTGGGGCATTCTGGGGACTATTTTTCTAGGCACAAGCTCATCCAATCTCATAGTCCATCCAATTTGGCCAGCTTGGAAACTCTGTCCTTCAAGCCCAAATAAGTTGGACTTGGTTCAATCTTCAATGCTGCCAAATAGCTTTCTTCAGGTTTAAAAATAAATACTGCTTTCACAGAGTAACCACCTATGACAAGGTTCATCAAGAAACAAAGAAGTAGCAGAAGCTTTGACAAAAACCAAGAAGAATCAAATCATAATTCTCTACATTCAGTTGAAAAATACATCAGTTTTTATAAGCAATGAGAAAATCAAGTAAAAGACTTTGGCTCCAGTCCAAAATTTACACGAGTTCTACATGTTCAATCTGAGATTACCATATTGATTAAATAGAGAAGCAAGTTCCAAAAGCTTCAAGAACTCCCCTCTGCCACCTTTTTCTTGTAGGCATTCTTATATTGAATCAGCACGTTGGCTGCCACATATACTAATTCTTGTTGCTTGTTACTGGACTCTTAAATTAGTTGAAGATTTTGAGTTACTAAAAGGATCATAGAGGGCCAAGAACATCATCAACTCCTCAATTCACACACATCCAAAAGGAGATAAAATACAACAGTGTAAAAGGTGACATCATACTGCTAACATATCTAGTAGCCATACAGAGCTAGTGAACTCCTCATAAAGATTCCCAAAAAGTATTTCTTACCAAGGCAGAGGATGTGGATGCTCTGCTCGGATTTAAAGCTTCCAGCTTCCTTTTCAGTTCCTCCAATCTAGCTAGCTGAGTGTTACTACTTTCACGAACCTAAAAAAGATAATGACGCTTGAAAAGATTCACACAATCTAACACTGTAAATGAAAACAAGAAATATACAAAAGCAAAATACCAGATTATTCAAGTCCTCACAAAGCTTTTGCTTGAAATCCTCCTCATCCTTAACAGCTTTTAATGCTGCTTCCCATGCCTAGAGATAAAATCAGATAAGAAGATGCAAATCACATACCAAATTTAGAAGTCCGTTACAATTTCCTTTAAGTAATAGATCTAATGCTCTTCTTCCATCTCTCCCTTTAGTGTTTTTCCCTTTTTATGTGTTGTTTTCCTTATTTTCATTTTTTCTTTTTGATTGGTGAAATCACATTCAGGAGAAAGGCTGCTACTATGGAAGCAAAATCATTGCAAGAGATGAAAACAAGCAAATACTCATTAGACTCACTGTAAGCTGAAATGTAGGAAACTGAGAGGAGGATAACACCTTCTCTAGGTCATCAATAAGACAGGAAAGTACAGGATATAAAGTAGCCTGAGAACAGACTTCACTCGACACTCATTATCCTATATCTGATCTTCTTGGGAATGAATAACTAGTTATTTATAGAGGATACTATCATCTATTGCTCACAGTACAGATTTGCAGCCTGGATTTTGCCTCTGCAAACACCCATGAAGTTCAAGGACGGAACCAAGATGTGAGAAGGAACAAAAAGGAAACAGCATAATATAGCGGTTGCCTCCTGACCTTGTAGATAGACCATAGCTTTCTATGAACGAATAGGCAAAACAAAAATTACGCCAAACCAACAAAAAGTGGCATTTTATCTGAATGTTATTCCAAAATAATTTGAAAATCCATAGTCAATGGGTTTGGTAGTTGGTTAGATAGTCACTGGAGGCTCTACAAAGCGCGTTATCTTGAGGAGATAGGGAATGATGAGATAAAGGGAGGGATGTTGCGAGTGCTACGTACGTGTTCACCCTCAAACTGGAAGTCGGGACAAAGCTGTAAAATACCCAGTCATCATCATGGCATTTATTTAGAATTTTAGATATGGAATTTTATTATTATAAAATACTTCAATGAGTTCTAAGATGAAATCAAATGGAGCACCATGGTCAATGAGGATTCGAATAGCCGACCCCAACTTGCTTGGGATCGGTCTGCAAATAGACAGTGTCGGTGAGAGGTTCTTCCAAGATGTGCAATAAACAACAGTACAACACGAAAGGCATCAGATGGATGGTACCACATTTTTTTCTTTAATGAGTAAATATTTTGCAAACACAAGCTCATTCCCATGAGGTTGGCATCAAGTACATGCAAATTGCAAAATAGTACATCAATACCATATATGGTGTAGGGCATGTGGGCTGTGGCATGTTCTATCAACAAATTTTATAGTAAGAATTTTCACTAGCAAAAAATGCATCCAGAAGATGTAAAGGATTACAGAAGCAAGCTCCTATCAAAAACGGAAGGACTTGATGGAATATCAAAAGTTCAACTACGTCATCGACAGCTTAGAGATTACACCAAAAAAAAAAAACAGATTCATCTGGCCTTTAGAGAGAGAACAGGTATGATGACTCCAGAAAATGCATATCTGCTATTGGTAAAATTATGTTGACCTCTTCAGAAGCAAAGATCTTAATGAAGGTCAAACCATTCAGTTTCAGGGTCTCAATTGGAACATTAATTCCATTTGACAAAAAATGTACACATTTACAAACCACATATAAGTCACTAAGTAACAATTTTTCATAATTAAGAATATGTAAAGAGATGCATTAGAAAATCGTAGACAACAAAAGCTGTTTGCTTCCACGATTAGTTTATATTTCAAATCTCAGGTGCCTTGAAAATTTAACAAAAGATTTAAAAGCCATTATTAGAGAACCGGTGTTTCTTTCACCTTCTCATTTCATGCATTCACCGTTCAAAAACAGCTTGTTGAACAACTAAATATCTTCCACTGTTGCATTGTTTACATCTAAGGCAATATATACAAGTGACTAATAAACTTCAACAGACCTTCTCCTTTAGCACTCAAGCCACCAAGCAGATATTTCAAATTATGTACTATGTTTTAAAGCCCAACAACCTGCCTGATTGGTGAAATCTTTATATTAAAGGACTGAATTTTTTTTTGAAGAAATCAGCTCAGTTCTTAGTCAAAGGCCTTCTTCTGCGCCTCTAACTGGAAATATATTAAGAAACTTTAGTTAGTCTAGTACTTTAGCCTATTTTAGAAGTTGTTTCATTAAGCATTAGTCAGAATGTGGAAGGAAGCACAACAATTAGAAGTGTCAGGTTGATTGGGGAAAAGAGAGAAAGTGGAGATAATTAGCAAGTGAAAGCACTATCTTGCTACTTCCCTGACCTTTTAGGAAAAGGAATAGAAGAATCCAGCACTAATATTAGAAACCAAAAGTCACTTTTGATTAAAATGCAAGCTTGAAAAGGAAAGGACTAAAATGCAAGTAATTTAAACATGCCAAGGCACCATTTTTTTGCTTCTTCCCAGACTTCTCATGGGAAAGAACATGAAATCTCCACAGAAGTAACGTTTTTCAAAATCAAAAAGCACTTTTGATACAAATCCAACTTCACACGTTTGGAAAAGTGTCAAATGTCAGCTAATCTTTAAATGACTTCTTCTCAAATTCGGAAGAGTAGTAATTTGTGCTTGGCTAAAGCTTTTAAGAAACATTTTTTTTATTATTAGAGAAACAGGTTGGTGTTTTGTTAATATATCTTAAAAGTGCTTTTGAGTGTTAAATATGAAAAACAGAAACCAGAGAGGTAAGGATTCAATCAGTATTATTTTTAAATAGATAAATGATTGTAAACCAAAAAGAATAGAAAGGGGAGACAAACCTTTCGTGCTTGTTCTTCCTTCTGCTTAGCAATACGGACTTTCTCTGTTGACATTTCTATTTTCTTTCTCATGTGTTCAAGTGCTGAAGGTTACAGGAAAGCTCATAAATCAGCTGTGCAATTATAAGATACTTATGCATAAATAAGTAGCATAGACAAGGCACAGACCTGCTTTCTTAGGCCCAGCTGTAAGTTTCATCTCCATTGACAGGTTTGCCAGTTCCTTCTCAACATCACGAATCTTGGAGTAATTTTCATCTATATATCTGACAGGATATACCAGAGGAGAAAAATCATTATGCATAGAAAACCTAGGGTGCGTATCTGATGTGAAAAGAACTTTAATGCTGGTGATAACATGATTACAAGCAAATATACACTACCATGACTTCCACAGTATCTCAGGTCCCTATTACATTCTGCTCTAAATCAATTACCACTGACAATGTATACACTGGATATATGGAACTAAGATCATGGACTAAAAGCATGCAAAACATTCAGAATCTATAAAACAAGGATTTCCTGGGATGCAAGAGATTTCCTGAGATCATGGACTAAAAACATGCAAAACATTCAGAATCTGCAAAACAAGGATTTCCTGAGATCATGGACTAAAAACATGCAAAACATTAAGAATCTGTAAAACAAGGATTTCCTGGGATGCAAGAGATTTCCTGTGCACGGAAACAATAATTTTCAAGATCTCTACATCCCATGATGTTCTTATTTGGGAGAATAAAGGAAAAGCTCTTTCATGGATTCCATTTTGTTGAAATTATATGCAATTGAATTTTAGTAATTCTTTTCTTAATGCTCCTTCATTAAAATTCTCTTTGAGAAAGAAGGTTTTTGGATCATGTTTGTGCATAAGTTTATTAGCCATAGATGAGCTTTACATACTAGCCTGGTCCAATATAATTTGTCTGTGTGTTTTCCTTTTCATGTTTACCACCATAATCACCTTCAGAATCTACATTTAACAGATGTTTTAGTCATGAATTTATCCACTTATTCGCTTTCCCAATCAATGTAGGAAAACTGTCAAATCCATTAGAGTAAAATTCAAGTTCAGAATCTTTTACTATCCAGCTATGCGTTGGATTACAGAATGTTCCACTGAATTTCTTTCATAATCATTTGTGTTCCTCCAATTCAACCGTCTGATATTGGTTACTTCAGATTTGTAAACTAACAATCCTTGGTAAACTTTTGACATTGAAACAGCAGTAACTCATTCTGACGAAGATAACTGAGTAACATTGAAAGGCATTTACTAGTGAAATGGCACAAGGAACAAGCAATGCAATAGTATTGAAGTTGAACATGAGATCCATAAGAGTAGAAAGTAAGTAGTCAACTCACTTTCTTAATTGAAGCTGCTCTGCCTCAATTATCTGGAAACAACATTGCAACAATCAACAAGTGTATACTGTAACTTATAGTATATTGAAAGCACAGATTATTAAAGTGTATAAATTAGAGACGGACCTTCTCGGTGTAAGCAATGACCGGTGATTCTCTAGCAATACCATCGGACCCAATCTCCGGTAGCAGCACAGGTTTGGCTGTCGCATTCCGATCTGAACTGGCGTCGGTAGCCATTGAAACAACACTCTGATTGCTTAAAAGTGAGGATATGGGCAGTTGAAGTTGTCGAGAGGTATTCACGTAGAAGGAATCCTAATTCCGAAAAAAAGTGTTTTGGAGTAAGCGTTTCGCTGAATTTGGGGACTAGTTAGTGGGTATTGCTGCTTCATATGGCAATTAGCAGCAAACGGCGTCTGCACGTCGTTGGCACTGGCCAAATGTCTGTAGTTTGTAAATTGGTCATAAAATGGGATTTCTCAAATTTTATGACTTTTTGGCTGACCATTTTTATTTTTTTTAATCACAACGGAACCGCACCGCATTTTTGGGTGCCCAAAGGTAAACATCACTATAGCTCATAAACCACGTGAGAGAGTTAACCCGCCCAAGACAAGCTCCACATAAGAGGGTGTTTAAACGTGCCTTTGGTGATATTCGGTGGGTAACAATTTTTTGCACAAATACTGTGTACTAATCTGATAAAGTTACAAAAAGAAAAAACCTCACAAATCATGGAAAAGATCAACAATTTGAGACTAGTATTATTCTGAGTTGTACATCAAACCACATAATATTTTCGTTCTGCTGATTCTAATTAAAGACAGATGCCACCATTAGTTCTCACGACTCAATGAAGCTGCCCTCTCATGAAGTCAGCTTATAATACAGACACATTAAAGGAAACAAAAACAAAATGGCTCTTGAAAAGAAAACAAATTAAACAAACAAAAGCTGGATAGTCGTTAAATGCATGTACACTTCTGTTTTTCTCTCTACACGCAGTAAATCTCAATAACCAATATTAACCTTCTCTATCTTGGCTTCTGATGGATCCGTAACAAGGATCAGATATGTACCGGAGACATAACAGCTTGTATTTTGACTAGCAAAAAAGGCTTTCCAGCATTTCCCAGCATGACTGACAGAAGACGCGCTAAGCTATTTTTTCTTGCACCTCCTAAATGTCTCTTTGGCTGCAACTTCTTTCCAAAGAGAGGAACTAACCAGCAGATGCCAGAGACGAAAACAAAATAAATCGACCATTGTGAAAATAAATCTAGAATAATGCAGATACAGCATGAAGAGAACAAAACTTGTTCTGCCTTCTCATGCAGTGACCTCGGCAAGAGTTCGTTGAACTGCATCTTGTGTAGGAAGGGATGGGATTCCACCTCTTCCTGTCACTGTCAGGGCAGCACAAACATTAGCAAAAAAGATAGCCTCCTTTAACCGCTTCTCATCCTGCCAAGAATATAAAAAAGGATTTCTAGAGTTAGGAACTAGATGTTCAATCAATGAAATGGACTAAAATGCAAGTGAAGCAATCAATCTATCTCCCGGTATTCCACATCCTAGGACATACTCATGGAAATGCTGACATGATGAGATCTAAAAATGGAAATTAATAACAAGAAAAAGTGACCGGTATTAGGAAATTTAGAATCTTTCACAATGCTCCCATTTACACGGGTGAAAGCAAGACAATCTTCAGAAAGACCAATTAAAACCTGTAAAAGCAAAAACAATCTTTACTTGCTGGGTGTACCATCAAACTATGAGCGGACAAATCACCCATCAATCAAATTACCATACAGCCGTGAAAGCAGTGATTTTGCCCCCTCAGCCAGAGGGCACAGTTCAAATTGCAACAGTCGGTATATGAAGCAAGCAAGCAGCTACTTGAAACTATCAAAATTCTGGGGTTCTCCCTATTTAGGAACTTGTAAATAGACTTTAGAATTAGGGGAATAAAAGAAAAAGAATGCGCAATTGGTTGAAGATTTCACAACGGGTCTCAGAAAGAACAGAATTATTTATATTTTACCTATCTTAACACTGCCAAATGGTAGACCAGGGTTAACATGGGAAGAAAGTATGACGAGAGAAATTTTTTTTGATTCTGCATGAATAATGTGAAAACTACTATTGCCTTTTTTGCTCAAATCAAAATTTCATGCACCTGATAAAGACTAGCATCAGAAGCTAGACACTTGAGAACTCCACCGGTAAATGCATCACCAGCACCAGTTGTATCAACAGCTTTTACCTTAATCGAATTTACTCTTCCCTTGAATTTCTGCATCAATTGAGTCAGAATCCATTGGCAAATTAAAGCTACTAAGTCGACAAAATCTCAGTAGTTCATGCATTTAACTTCAAAAGTAGTAACATATAAGTACAAAAATGTACTGTATACATTACATAAAATTCTATTTGGTCAAAATTTAATGCCTGGGAGGCTGAGACATTTTCATCTTCTGAGTAAATAAAGATGTTAGTCATATGCAGTAAAATTTTCAGCTTTAAGCATTATAAGTTCATTTTCATACGAAATTAAAGAAAATATGTGGATAAAATAGGATAAGAATACCTTGGTGTAATATCTGCAACCAGCTGAACCTTCAGTTACAAGCAAAAGCTTCAGATTAGAATGGAAAAGCCTCTTCAACACCACCTCGTCATCATTTGGATCATCTGATCCAGTCAAGAATGAAATTTCATCCTCACTTATCTGCTTGTAGAAATACAGATTTTATTGTCAAGGAGAACTTAGCAGGTGAAGCACTAGGAGTTGTGAAAAAGTAATACCTTAATAATATCTGCTAGGTTCCATACGCTCATTATTCCACTTCGAGCAGCATCTTCTGAAGGCCATAAAGGCAATCTCAGGTTCGGATCATACGACAGTATGCTACCTGATCTTTTGGCAATGTCCATTGCAGCAAGGTGTGCTGACCTACAAGGTTCGTCGATCAAACTAATCGAACCATAATGGAAGATGGTGGCCTGGACATGATTAAATATGCCTTTAGTAAAAAATTTCTTTGAAGCTAACTGGAATACACTTCTATGTATTGAAGTAATAAGGAGAAAGCTACACCTTTTTAATAAGATCTACATCAAGTTCTGACTCCCGAAGAAGCATATCAGCACTAGGATTACGGAAAAACACGAACTCCCGCTCACCTTCAGCTGTGAGTGTAATGAAGGCCAGTGCAGTCCTTGCATCATGGTCAAACCGCATGCCGGAATTGTCAACATTGTTTTGCTTCAAAATGTCAGCCAACATACGGCCGAATTCATCGTCACCAACCTAATTAAAGATGCACAGATCTTAAAGCTATCTATAGGTCACATTTAAAGTCATCGCCAATTAAGGCTTAGCACAAAGGTATCAAATAAGAATAATGCAATCAGTACAGAAGCAAGGAAAAAAAGGTTCAGTCCACAAGATGAACAAGCAAAAAAAGTAGTATATAACATGACTAAGCAGATTCAGTGCAGGGCTTTGTATTGATTGATGAATAACATATACAGAAACTCAACACATACAGATAGTAATGCAAGCACTATCCCAACTTCTTCCCGTGAGAGCTAGTTGGATAGCAATATTTACGTAAAGCATAATGATACCAATATACTGCACAATCAGTTTCCCATATCTATATGACTGAGCAGACTGTACACTAGCCTAACCAATAGTATGAAAGATTATTTGCACATTTATCCACTCACAGAAGGCAGCAGTAGGATTTAATCATTTTCTAAGAAAGAATGGTAAGAATTCTTAACATTCTCAAAAATAGAAAATAGCGCTTTGAATTTTTTCTTTTATGAATATTTTGTTCTTTACATAACACGAAAGAAAAAAAGAACTTAGCATAGCGATTTGCATAAAATACTGACAAGGAATCAGTTTTCAGTTTTCTATTTCAGAGTGAACAAAACCTAAATTTTTACGAGCGATCACTGAAATTCAACAATTGAAAGACAATTACTGATTTGAACTATAATTAAGTATCCATAAGACACAACTACATGAAGAGGAAACAATGCTCTCATGCAATACGTTACACAGTACAATTGCACTGCATGGTTCTTGCACTTATTTAATCACCAGGAAATCAAAGAATTCTTGCACTGTATACACTAAGCAAAAAAGCACACGGACAACTTCAACAATTCAAAGTAGGTACCCCTCTGTTATGAGAAATTTGTATTCCAATATCACTGGTGTGCTTATAGAACATTATAAAAGCTAGAGCAAACACTATCACCCTCCCCAACAAAAGAAAGAAAAGGAGCATCTTCGTCCAAACAAGATCCCATTACTGCATTTAATGAGTAGAACAGTATGAAAAAATTTATACCTTTCCAATAAAAGCAGATGAACCCCCTAACTTTGAGATGCACACTGCAACATTAGCAGGTGCACCACCGGGAGCTTTTTCGAAGGCAGGAGCTTCCGCAAGTGAAACTCCAGCAAGAGTTGGGATAAAGTCAATGAGCATCTCTCCAAAGCAAACAACTAAATGAGACTTCTTTGACACATCACCATTTCTATTCAAAGAAAGGTCTTTTAAATTGCCTGCAAACATCCAAATTCTGCTGTCAACAGAGCACACAGCCAAATGATCAAGTTCTCTTGAAACAAATCAAATCAGGATAGCTTCTAAATTGAAAGCATCAAAAGTTTTATTTTTAAATAAAATACAGCCCCACCAGCTAACAAATATAATCACTAATTTCATTCAAGAAAAGGAAGGCAGGTAGCAGCTTTCACTTTGGGCGTGCATTAACCAAACTGTAGCTAATAAATCCTTGTTTTCATAAACTATAACGAGTAGTTCAGAATTAGATCAACCAGAAAAAAGCCTTTTTCTTTCTTTTTAGCAGTAAGTGTCCAATCTTGTGAATATCTGAAGTCATTCCAAGATACACAATAAAACTTAAAAACAGAACACTTAAAGAGAACCGCAAAAGAAAATCTACTACTCAATATGACCCATTTGGCCAATCTTCATTGTCAACTACATGAAGTATCATGTACCTACCATCAATGATTGAACAACAAAGATCGAATATCTAAACAAGATTCAAGATAGTAACAAAGAAGCTACTAAAAACCCAAAATTTTGAAACAATAAAGAAAAGTCAAATCATGCATTCATCATTTGTAAATATATGTTGAAGAGATAGAAGATGCAGAACCTGAAATGGATTCGTCAGCCATATTGTGAGCAGTGTTAAAAATGGGGTCTTTGGAAATATCAACAAGAACTCAGAGAGAGAAAAAGAGAGGCGTTAATAGCGAAAGAAAGGGGAAATATAGGGGAATCTTGAAAGAGAACCGACTGGGAAGAGGGGGTTTTGAAGTTGACAAGAAAGAAAGAAAAATCAACAAATTGCTAAATCCTCCTCTTTTTTGCCACCCTGTTTACTACTTTTGGTGTACCTTGCTGACACCGACACGGC